TGAACTAAGTTTCCAGAAAAAACTATATACTTGCCCCTCTTGAGCAGTTATGTCAGTTTATTTAATGCCTCAACGAGAGAAAATTTTCTTCCCTCCTTGTGAGCAGAACCTACACAGTCAGCTTAGCAGCACGAACTGCTTCTGTTCTTCATCCCAGCACCACGGTATTAGGCTGGTTTTGCGAAATCTCCGGGAAGATTTTCAGTGCAGAGCATCAGACAAGACCCAGAACAGCTACAGGAGGCCAGAGGTTGTCATTTATTCAGAAACTTATTTAGCCTCTTAAAACGTGAGTTTCCTAGCTAAAAAACTGAAAGCACTTCTCTCTTCTTCAAAATGACAAGTATCAACTTCTTTCAGAGAACTTGAGTAAATTCTCAAAGAGTAAAATCCAAATGCCCAAGCTTGAAATTCAAGGTGTTCCACAGCCTTGCACCAATCTGCCTTCCCAACTTGTCATCTACCATTATTATTTTTCCTGTGTCCCACATTTAAGTGAAACTGTTCCCAATTCCCAGAAACCACCTCTGCCTTCTCATCTCCATGCCCAGTTCTAGGGGGGTAAATTCTTCCTTCCCATGTCAACTTTGCTTCTCTCTTCCCTCTACTCCCCCATCCATTTTTATTTTGGAACTTACCAATGTTTCAAGTTCCACATCTCCCTTCATTCCACAATCAGGCCATCTGCATTTCTCTATTAGCCCTTCACCAGGAGACAACATGCTTGCGAGACAGGGACAGCAAGGTGAACTAAACATTAAAACTGCATGCCATCTCTTTTCTCTCTAAGCATCCTCCCTCAGCTAGAAGTGATATTTCCCTTCTCTGGGCGCCTGCTAGCAGCTCTCTACCTTAATTTAGCGTTATTTACATATACCCTTCATCTCCTCCTCAAAGTATAAGCTCTTAGAAGGCAGCTTTATGATTTATCTTAGAAAATCTACTACCATGTTTTATACATAGTCACTTAATATATGGTCATAGGAGGCAACATGGGAGAGCCAGAGGTATTGTGACTTAGGATAAGAAAACCTGGCTGAAATAACCTTTAATCAAGCCAGTAAAGCCTCAGTGCTCATATTTGCAAATTATGGATACTACCATGTGCCTAAGAGACAGTAAGCATCAAATGAAATCATGTATGAGAACATACTTTTTAAATGGTCAAATGTTTTCTATAGTTATTCAATGGGCGCTAATAGAACATAAGTCTTTTGTAACTCAGAGAAAGCAGAATCACATAAACCAAATGTGTTTTTTTGACCATCATGACTGCTTTTCAATGTCTCCACAAATAAGTTATACCAAGTGACAGTATTATTGCGTTTGAAATATTCTAGTTGTGACAACATGAAGTTATATGTTCTTCTTGTCACAGGAACTTAAGGCTTTATAAACAATTTAAAAATCCCAGAAGGTCATCTGCATTTTAGCCCTATAAAATGTTAAGAATCCATTAAAACAACAACGGTGAACCTGCTGGCCCACCCAACGAGGGATATGTTTCCATTTTTCAAAAAGGCAGGGGTGGGGCAAACAAGGAGGCAGAGCTCAAAAAAAAAAAAAAAAAAAAAAAAAAAAAAAAAAAAAAACCTCATTATCATTAGAAACCTGCTTCATAGGAAATACCATTTAAAGTAATTATTCTGTTAAACCATACCAAAATCACTATCCATAAAAATGGGCTTTTCTAGAATCTCAGAGTGCTTCCTTTGGATACTATATTCATTTGGGCCTCACTTTTAGAGTCACATTAAGCGAAGGTCATACTTATTATTTCTCCCACTGAATACTCAAGAACAGAGACTGCATGCTCAACAGTCATGCGAAAATACCTGCCGCCTTTCACACCTGGAAAGCCCAGACTCACCCTCATCACAGACCAGAAGACCAACACAGGAGCGGCAGGAAGGAAGGAAGGAAGGAAGGAATTATCCCACAAGCCTGTAAAAGAACAACCTCCACATATCTATTAGGACCTGCACTGTATGGAGGAGGTGAGCTGGGCCCAAAGAGCACATAGAGCCAATGTTACCCCAGGATTCAGCCCCCGTATGCTGGACTCTCAGTTGCTTTCTCTCTCTCTGTTATCCCAGCCAGGCTTCCCACAAGACACAACTGCATGAGGTCCTTCACCTTGTCCCTCCTATACATCATGGTCAGACTCCAGGCAGGTAAGAAAACAGATGGCAAAAGGATATCTAGATTCTAGGCATAGCTAACTGGCTTGCCAAGAAACTAAAGCAAGCTCACTTAATTAACACTCTGAACCTAAGTTTCTATATTGAAAAAATGGTGATGATCATGTCTGTTCCACATCCAAAAAAAAAAAAAAAACTGTAAATCACCATGCAAATGTTGGAAATTATTTCTGTTGTGCTGATTATCAAAACTGATTATGAAGTCCACATAATTTTCCCTGGATTATGTTGACTCCTTAGAGTATGGCACTCAAGCCAAATTCAGCCCAACAAATGTTTTTGTAACACGGCCACACCTATTCTTGTTCAGATTGTCTCTGGCTGCTTTCACACTACAATGGCAGAGTTGAGTAGCTTTAACAGAAACTGTATGGCCCACAAAGTCTAAAACATATTTTATACTATCTGGGCCTTTACAAAAAGTTTGCCAGCCCTCACCTTTAAGTACTGACAAATATTAAAGATCAAAGGGAGTAGCTGACAAGTGACAGTAAATTTTGAATTTTCCCCAAACTTTAAACTATTTTCCAAATACGTCTTTTTTGTCAAAAGATACGGTACACTTTAAACAAATATAAAGAGAGAAGAAAAAAATCAGAAAACCACTTTTTGTAAATAATAAAATTATACTAAATCAGTCAAGTCCCAAAAAGATACATGCATAAAAAATTTTTAATTTTTCTGTATTTTCAACAGATCACAGTCTATAAGTTCTACAAAATTATCATTCTTAAAGAAAGAAATATCATAAAAATTATCCCTCAAACTATCCAATATTTGAAATAAAATGTAAACAGGAGAGGGAAATAGCTCAGAATATAAATGACGTGTTTCCCACAATTTCCAGTGTGAAACTATTTATCACTATGGGCCCTTCTCACCCCATCCTCTACTTTTTAAAAAATTAAACTGCTCTGCCAACCCTCTATGGAGAGTGGAGTTCTGCTTTTGAAATGCTTTTGTAAATAATTTTGCTTCATTTTGCATTTTGAATAGGCTATGTATATTCTGTTCCTAAACATCTGGTTCAGTGCCAGGAAGGAAAGTGTGCGGCGTGTTTCGACAAGTAGACTTCCTCTGTTTCTCAAAGCCTTCAAAATATTTAGTTTCAAAATGAATACACTGGAAGCCAAAAAATTACCACCCATTTGATTATTTTGTCATTGCTACTGTAAAGATTTACAATAAACACAAGTAGGGAAAAGAGCAGTGAGTAAGGAAGGCAACCAAGAAAGATAAAGTGGGGAAAAGCCATAAGACTCATGATAGTCTACTGGAATTGCCTTTTCCTTTCCCCTCCTTGTCTGTAGCCCTCCAAGAAAAGCCAGAAAATAGTATTACTTATTGCCGATAAAAAGTCATACGATCTTAGAGATGGACTAAATTTTAGAGGCCATTAAACACAATCCCATTTGTTTTATGAATGAGAAAAACTGAGGCCCAGTAATATTAACTGGCATGCCCTATGGATTAGCTAGTTAGTGGCAGGACCGGGACCAGAATCCAGTTTCCTGATCATCAGTTCACTTCCCATTAGATTTGGCTCCCTGCCCTGCAAAGCACAATGTACCATTTGGCACCTAACAGCTAAATTCTTTTAAAAACTATGCCCAGGGTACCCCTATCATAGCCAGGAAACTCACAATGCCCTTTTAAATCGTATCTATGGGCACATATTTTTTCCAAGTACAGACGATCAAAAATATGCTTTGACCTCCTAAGGATTGGGAGTCACAATAAAGCAAAGGAATAATCAAAGAGCTAATAAGAACTTCAAGCTCTCCCTTTATTTTGTCTTGATGTAAATCAGTTTGAAATAGACACCCCTTCTCCTACCACCCCCCCAGACACACACTTCCAAGACTAAACAGCAATATTCCATAAAAAGACCAGATCTAGCCAGTGTTATTATCTGTCTGACATTTGGGTTATTCTTGTGAGTAACTCAGAAAGTAACGTGGGTGTCTGCGATTATTTGAGTACACATGCAAACCATAATTGGTCAAAAAATAATAAAAGACATTTTTCTGTGACAAAAATACTGTATTGCATGACAGCATGGCAACATGACAGCATTCCGTGGACCGCAATACTTTCTCCATTTGCAAAAAAGTAAAAAACAAAAATTCAAAACGAACCAACAAGCCTTTCTTGCAGACAGCAACTACTTGTTCATATTTAAATTAACTTAAAGGAGTACTGAGAGTAATCTACCAGTCTGTCTTCCCAAAATCCACGTTATATATCAATTTATATTCAGTCTTGTGAGACGGAGCAGAAACGTGGCAAAAGATGCAACTCTGTGTCCCTTTCTACAACCAAGTACAGGTTTTTGACAATTCTTGGAGTTTTGTTTTAGAACTTGGCTATTTTTGAAGTAAAAACTTCAAATTTCATCACCACCTTCCAAAATTTATTACATGAGTCAAATCTAATACAAATTCCACTTATCACTAGGCTGATAAAATTTGAAGCTTATCAGCACAAGTCATGCCTTAGAGTCTAAATCTAAAACCTACTCTCTTTTCTTGTACTGTATATATTCCCATTACCACACGGCTGCGTAAATGCTAAGCAATAAGGGAAAATATTCTAGTTGCCATTCCCCTAAGAAACCAAAAATCAGGGTAAAAATTATTCCGAAAGTAATTTAAAAGATCCCATGAAAGAAACATATTCGTACTCATAGACAGACATCCATTGAAGCAGAGAGCAGTGTGAATGAAGGGGGTGTCTAAATGCTACAATCTCATAAAACTCGACTCAGTAAGGACAGTTAGGGACCGTGGAGGAACTCACCCACTCGGAAGTTCGTGGCCGTCAGGGTGTCGGCAGCATGACCATTCTCACTAATGAGAGTGGTGGTGTTCCCCTTCTCACAGCTGTTCTGACAGCTGCCCTTGGTGCAGGTCACTTTACAGATGCTCGGAGTAAAGACCACCTTGATGCGGCCAGTGTGGTTACTCACTAGGAGCGGAGGCAGGGAGAAAAAAAACAACAAACACATCAGCTTAGTATCCATGAATTTGCCTTGGAAGGTTTAAAAAAACAGAAGAAAAGAAAAGAAAGGAGCAAGAGGGGGAAAGAGAGAGCCCACAACCCGACAGGTTTAAGGAAAGAGGGAAGCCTTCAGTGCTCGCTGCTCTGTATTCAGTGGTGTCTCTGAAACAGGAGTAGGAAGCTTAGCAAACAGAACTCTGGGATGCACTCCAAAACCACATTTGAAGTCGAGTCACTGGAGTGGGATTACTAACCACAATGCTGCACTTTATTCATGGGCAGACAAAGAGCAATACCAAGGGCACGACAGATTAAAGAGCCAACCCTGACAGGCAGATGTAATGCAAAGGGGTTGGCCGTGCACCTAGCGGTGAATAAACTCTTGTGTCCTCAACTTGCATACTTTCCCTGTTTCTCCACTTATTAAGTCACTATTTGCAGCCCGACCCCTGGAAATGTTTTAGGCATGCGGCATGTCTGAAAACATCTGTCTCAAATCTCCTGGCACTCTCGGCTGAAGTGATCAAATGCTGTGACGCAGCTGCAGGAGCCCATTTCTTTTTCACAACTCCAGGGCACTATTTCTCCATAAGAATTTAGGCAACATATATTTTGTTTTCCTGTGAACAGGGCCCACCTTTAAAGGGGTAAGCCAGGTCACAGGGATAAAGGGTTGCCTCCCTAAAAATAACACCCTTGGGCTCTCACTGTCTCTATTCATAGACCACCTGGAGCAGCCACTGGGGATGGAGCTTCCTTTCATTCACGTGGCCTTCTCTTAAAAACCAAATGCTATCACCTGACCACACAGCCGAGGCTATGTGGTATCACAAAATAAGCCCTAGACTAAAAGTACATCCCGGTTTACAATCCCAGCCCAACCACGGTGTGACTCTGGACATGCCATTTCACCTTTTTTCCAAAACATAAGAGAATTGAAACTGATATTTTCTATACACTTCTAACTTTCAACCCAAGTCTCTACCAGTGGTCAGCAAGCTACAGTTCAGGGACCCAATCCAGCTCGCTGCCTGCTTTTGTAAATAAAGTTTTACTGGAACACGGCCACCCTCATTCATTTCTGTACTGTCTATGGCTGCTTTTGTGCTGTGATGGCAGAACTGCACAGAGGCAGTACGGCTTCATCCAGACCTTCCCTTCACTGCAGGATCTCAACCTGAAGTCTCTGACAAATTGCAGGACACACACAGTTTTGATTGCTCCATCTGCGATAGGCCGCCAGCCAGGTCCTTCCTCTTTCCAGGAGACTAGGCAGAAAGCAAAAATGGTAGCAGTAACTGAAGAGAACCAGTCATCTGTGAGGCTGACAAGAAGCAGTACCCTTCTGACGCCACTCCCTGACTAGAGTGGCCGAAGGGGAGAGAGGCTCTGGGCCAGCCTTTTTTATACCATCTTAGCCCACCAGAAAAGCTTGTCTCCCTTTATGCTGCTTTGGTTTGGCTAATTATTATATTTTCAGAAAATCATCCCAAGATGCCTCTCTCAGACCCTCAACAAACTAAAACTGTGGTCATAAACTGAGCTCGGAAACAAACAACTGTAACCAAAGAAGCCATTCCAATGTCAAGGTTGGAATGGGGCCCCAGAGGTTTCCAAACACAACCATCTCTCATCCACTGTTTGCATTCCACATATCAAGTGGTCATGTAACCTTTATTTGAAAATCTCTAGTGACGGGCAGCTCATTACCCACAAAAGCGCATGATAGCTATGGCAGTTCCCAGCAAGTACTATTTTTTACTGAGCTGAAATCTGGCCTCACAGTAACTTGCACACATTAATCCTAATTTGGTTCCCCATGGCCTCTTCCACATGACAGCCCTTCAAATAAGTTATCTTTGAGATAAATGCCACTTAACCAAAGAGCTAAAATTAGAAGGACTTGAACACATCAGCTGGGTTGGCCATCTCACTTAGAAGAAGAAAAATGATTCCTCTGGAGGAGAAAGCCCTCCATTCTTCTCAAATGGTTTTCCAAGACATTTTCTCCTTCACCAGTCATTCTAACCCTGGAGGATCAAGACATGTTGTCTGAGGTGGGGAGATGTCCTAGTGGCCAAGCAGGCCTTCTGGCACCTTGCAAAATGACATCCAATAGGAAGCTACTATCAGTCAATACTTTAAATCGAGGACTAGCAAACTTTTTCTACAAAGGGCCAAACTGTAACTATATTAGGATTGCAGACCAAAAGGACTCTATTGCTATTCAACTCTGCGGACCCACTTAGCTGGAAAGCAGCCTGTCAAAAACAATATGTAAATGAGTGGGCATGGCGGTGTTCCAATCAAACTTTACTTGAACACTTCAGTAACCCCTCCTTTAAATGCTTATAGGACATTTTAAAGTTATCTGGGAGTCTACCTTAGAAATTAAAAAAAAAAAAAAATGAATCCTGATTTCACCAGCAGATAAAATTCACCTAGTTTGATTTGTTTTTTTACAGTAGCACAAACAAATCAGCTTATAATCTAAGTTGTTAGACAATGCTTACAAATATCTTGAGGATACTTTGTGTGTTCAAGTGTGTGAAACCCAAGAAAAAAACAGACAACATTTTCCCACTTCAAAAGAATATAAACTCCTATTTTTTCTGGCTCGTGGTACAATAATGAAATTAGAATCTGTGTGCCAACTATTTTGTCTTCTCTGGCATTAACTTGTAGCACCAGCAGCTGCCACACAGATGCTCACACAGTCACCTAAATTATGCTCACTTAGGCGAACGGAGACATCCAAAGAAAGCAAGCACTTAATCATTATTCCCATTTCACCTCCCAGTTACAGTAGTCACTTTATAAGCACTGGAGATTCTCCGGGTCTATTGTTTTTAAAAACTTCTTATATTTCTTTGCCAAAAAAAAAAATGTTTTGGCTTGGAATCATCTGGATTTTCAAAAGGCAGAGACAGTTTCATATGACTTAATTCTGATTTTTACAATGTTCACATCTTCTTGGAAGCAGAAGCTATATTTTATTTCATATAAAAATGCTTGTGTTTTACAAGCATTCTGCTATAAAGTAATCTAATTCTAAAACAGACACTTGTATTCTAAGCGGGTCCTCTCATCTTCATGAAGCACTTACTTCTACATTATAATTAGCTTTAGGTTTTCATGCCAATCTTCTCAAAATTGGTAGTGAAAATGCGCTACTGCTTTTGACACTAGATTATTATCCAGAGCTCTAACAGGATCTCCATAAATGCTGGATGGATTAGAAAATACGTTCTCCCATCTTTACTCCTTGAAAATCATTCCCACATATTTAGGGTATAGTGTAAAAAGTTTAAGTTTTAAAGTTCACCAAACAAAGATCCATGCTCTGAGCTTCAAATTCCTCACATGTGACACGCTGAAGGCAATACCACTCACCTTTCAAGAATTTAGTAGGAATTCACTAACAGTGGACACAAGCTCTCCTGCAAAGGCCATTTGGTCTATCAGAGGCCTCTTCTTTGAATGCCTTGAATAAGGTAATACTCAAGGACTCCTGATGCCTTGCAGAGATTAGGTATCCAATAATTTTGGAATAGACAAAGTAACCCGAAGGTGTCCATGGGGCAAGGGTGACTGTCGGATCTCACAGAGATCCAAGACTCATAGGATGCTGGAGGTCATTTTGGTCTAAGGTCCTGCTGCACCAGTGAGAAAACAAGCTCAGAACTAACCAGAGGCAGAAGACCATCCCGAGTGGCACCTACTGGGTGATTAGGAATTCTAAGTCTGAGAAGCAAAAGTTAGGCCAGTCAGGAGTTAACAGGGAAACCACTGGCACAGCTTCTGTGCTTGGTCCTTCAGAGGAAAAAAAAAATGCAATTTTTCGACCCCAAAATCTTAAGCAAGCACTTTAAAACTTTGTGTTTTAGAGGCCTTGGCTAGAGGCACAGATTGCCTGGAGCCATGCAGCACCTCCACTGGGCCTCCTAGTCAGTCAAGACACTCAAGAGTCAACATCCTGTCCACAGCGTCTGCCAGACCCTGTGCAAATTTATACCTCCAAGAAGAGGCACTGGCACTCGGTTTCAAACAAACCACAGATATTCAGAGTGAATGGTGAATGGGATGGAAGTGAAGCCGATACCCCTCCTCCCATGATAAAAAGCTTTCGTTTCTGTTTTGGGGTTGTTAACAACAGAGAAAAACACAAAACTGTGAAAACTGTTCTTGACAAACAGACATCAGTCTAGAAAAGAGCACAGTTGCCCTTGTTCGGTCATTAGACTAGGATGTGACCAAAAGCAAAGTCAGCCAAAGAAATAAATAAAACAAGTTCAAGACTCACATCAGATGTCATGAACAAATACAGTCTCCTCAGCATTCGTCCAGAATGCCGTGACAGCACATTAGCATGCATCCAACTTAAACAACGGGGACCAATCAGCACAGGCAATATCCTCTGGGAAGAAACAACCTCTCTGTGGTTTAAAGCCACCACCCAGTTTAAAGAGACCTACAGGCTGATTCAATACACAAGTCATGTGTACACTCTTCAGGGTGTGAGAGACTGAGCTAACAGTTCATTCTCCCGCTTGCAGTTCATCGCTTACCCGAAGGCCAAGAATTCTTTGAAGGACAAATCATAAAAATATTAAATAACGCTTAGAATAACAGGACTTTATTGTTCAGCTCTCCAGGCTTGCTTAACTCCTCCTGGACTATTAAAATAATGCCCATAGACTGCTCTGTGTTCCTCAAGTAAGGTGTTATGTAAATAAAAATTAATATCAAATCTATTACTTCACCAGGCTGCCCCAGTCCTGGAAACCCCTCCAAGAAGGAAACTCAGATGAGATCACTAGTACTGATGTGGACAGTTCCACAGGTAAGAATCCAGAGTAACCTTTCGCTCCATCTCTTGAGTTACTGAGGCAGGAGTAACTAAAGAAAGGGACAGAGAGAGCAACAATTGCTACACCAATGATAGAAATCTAAGTCTAAGATCAAGG